ATAATTTTAATATCATTCAGCACCAAGGGTTAGCCTTTAGAGATGGTTGGATCTTAAGCTAAATGCTTGAAGCACTGGAAGGTTTTAAATTGTTAAAAGGCTAAAAATGTGAGAGCTGTAATTTGCAAGATTCAGCTCTTCAATATTTACAGTTAATCCTTGACTTACAACAGTTCATTTAGTGACCATTCGAAGTTACAATGGTCCTGAAAAAGGTGACATGACCATTTTTCACACTTATGACTGTTGCAGCATCCCCACCGTCACGTGATTTACATTCAGACGCTTGCTTGACAACTGGTTCATATTTATGATGGTTGCCGTGTCCTGGGGTCATGTGAACACACCTTTTGCGACCATCTGACAAGCAAAGTCTATGGGGGACCCAGATTCGCTTAACAACTGTGTTACTAACTTAATAACTGCAGTGATTCATTTAATAACTGTGGCAAGAAAAGACATAAAATTCTCACTTCACACATTTCTTACTTAGCAACATAAATTTTGGGCTCAATTGTGGTCATAAGTTGAGGACTACCTGTATATCTAATTCTAAATGTAAAGTAAGCAAAGATATTGTCTGACTCAGTGGTGGGATTCAAATTTTTTTTTTTTTTACTACTGGTTCTGTGGGTGTGGCTCGGTGGGCGTGGCAGGGGAAGGATACTGTAAAATCTCCAGTCAGAGGTGGTATTTGATGGTTCTCCAAACTTGTCAACATTTCCACTCCAGAACTGCTCAGAACCTGCTGAATACTACTTCTGGTCTGACTGCTGTTCTCACAGCAATAGCTAATTATTTCAGTTTTTTTTTTTTATGTATGCATTTAAACATATCTGTCTATCAAAAAACCTTGAAGCAGTTTTAACAATTTAAAAATTCTTAACACACAGTTTTAAGTAGCAATGTTTATTGTAGCATATTGGTGATGGGAGGTAGTCCCATATGGCAGGAGAACCACAGCCTGAGTTGCTTCTATAAATAAAGCAGGTACTTGCTGCACCTGCTGAGCTGAGATTATTTTGGAAATTAATTTGGTCTCATGTTCTTTAAAGGCTTTCTCAGCAGGTGGAAGCACCTGAGCAACCTTGTCTGGATTCAAAATTAAGTGAGTTTGGGCACATTGAGAATTAAAGAGAATCCACCAAGGAACTCCAGGTCTGGGAAGTTTTAAAAAAGGCATTCTGGAAAAACAAGGTGGCAAATTATTTTTATGGTGTCAACCAGAATAAGTTAACTGCCTCTTGTGATCACTAGAGTTGAACCTCACTCAAGGGAATCTTTGCATTTAACTTAAATCCATACTATCAGTTTGAACTCGGCTTATAGTAGTCAGAGAGCCAATGGAGTTAATTTACCAACTGGTTCTCCTGCAAGCTTTGCATGTCTTAAAAGCTATGTTCTGAAAAAAAAAAAGTTTCATATTTCTTGCTGAATGCTGTCCATATTTTTTTCTTCATGATTTGGAATCTGATTTATTCAGCTTATCAAACACATGCAGATATCTTGAGGTGCAGTTATCTGAATCTGTGAAGAACCCCACACAAATGTGTGGCTTCAAGAGGAGTAGGAGGAGAAAGAGTGGGAGTAAGGTCTATTGCCTCACTCTTCTTCAGTGCATTGTGTGAATGTGGAGTGGAGAAAGAGACTGTCAAACAAATGGCAGGAGAGTTCTTTTGCCCCGACATATCAGCTGTATTACAAATTTTCATCTTGTGCTTCTTTCTAAAGGAATTACATAGAACTACCTACTGTTGTCTTTTGAATCAAAGGGTAGAATTGTGGCATAGTCAGAAATTCTGAGTGCTTAACCTGAGAATTCTGCATAAGTCTCTGCAGATCTGCTGATCTTGCTCCAGTAACACGCTGATCTTGCTCCAGTAACACCTTCTTCCTGCCTAAGTTTATGCTTTCAGTGCAGACATGTACAGCAGAAAGCATCCCAAAGGTCCTTTTTTCAAGAGGCAACTGGACTTTCTGGTTTTTCTTTGAAGATGTTTTGCTTCTCACCCAAGAAGCTTCTTCAGCTCTGACTGGATGGTGGGGAATGGAAGAATTTCATTCAGTTCTTCCATCCCCCACCATCCAGTTAGACTGAGCTAAAGAAGCTTCTTGGATGAGAAGCTGAATATCTTCAAAGAAAACCAGAAAGTCCAGTTGCCTCTTGAAAAAAGGACCTTTGGGACAACCATGACCTGGATGACTGAGAATCTCCATAGACATGAATAAGGAAGCATGATAATGCAGGACCTTGGCTTTTATAGAACCCAAAACTGGGACATGAATTGTTTTTGCCACAGGTGTTCATGGATTAATTTTGGCAGGAGAGTAGTAATGCGATGTCTGCTTCTTGCCAAGAAACTTCCTAAGACTGTTTTTTGATAAACCAAAGTATGTTTTGCTAAGAGAGCTACAAGAAATGTTATGCTATTTTCCCACTCCAGAAGCCCTTCAAGAGACCAGGCTGTCAACCTCAACAAATGCATACATTCAGCTGAAGGCTAAAGATGATCTCTGACTTGATGGCCACTGCAATATAACACCTTTGGTAGGTTCTTTGGGAGAAGGCAAGACAATAATAATAATAATAATAATAATAATAATAATAATAATAATAATAATTCCTCTGATCTTTTGTAAATTGCCTTTATGAACTCTTTTAGTCTCCTCAGTTAAGCAGTAATTCACAAATTCTGTTGGTATTCCTATAGGTGATAATGTGACTAGTGTATATTCCTGCAGGTTCATGCTTTTTGGCACTTTGATCTGTAATGCCATTACCATTCATGCTAAGGTTCCTTGGTATGCTCTTGTAGGGAAAAGTTATCCTTGTCTCAATATGAGTTTTCCACCAGCACTCTTATTAACTGTTGGAGTCATATTCCATCAGCACTATCACTGTGATAATTAACAGAGTACAAGGAAAGCCTAGAGGGAAGAGAAAAAAAGTTGAGCCATTAAAGGGATATTATTTTAGACACTATAAATGTCACGGTAGAATGCTTCCAAATTTTATTACCATCAGGTTGTATCTCAGAAGTTATTCTAAAATACAGGAACTTTTTTCTAAGCCACATTCTCCGTTAACTCATTTGGTGCTTGGGAGTTGTTTATAGATATTGGTTCTCCCCAAGAGAACCGTTGCATTGTAACTAAACCTACCTGTGCCATCCACAGATTAATTATTGTCTTCCTATGTATTTCCATGTCCATGTGTGCAGCTATACATACACATATACCCAGGTACAGACAAAAAAAGTATTCAGAATTACATTCATTTGTCAAAAAGCCTGTGAACATTATATGCCTGCCCTACAATTGTCAGTGACATCTAAGAAGCTGATTATGTATCAAACACTAAGCAATTCCTAATTTATTTTTTGTGTAAACAATGATGTTTTGCTTTTGCCAAAAGGCTAAATTTTTATTTAAAAATATATACTTTATCATGAAATTAATACAATGCACGATAGCATCCTTGTCACAGTGTGACTCTCAAATTATTAGATGAAATTGCACTTACCCGAGAGAAGGGGGAAGGGAGGGAGGGAGTGAAAGAACGTAGTATAGTGTTGAAATACATTTTTAACTTAACTGAACTGTGAAAGATGGGTATATTTTTTTAGAAACTGTAAATAAAAATTTCCTAAGGACCTAGGAGTCACGGAGGGAGTCAAGGCCTCTTAGTTGATACTGGTGGGCCTATCCAAGAGTTAAAATCTTATGGTTTCAGCATGCAATGGATTACTTTATGACAGACCTTGGGAGATAGGAGTTTTAATTTTTTCTACATTCAAATTTTGGGAGTGTTACAGCTTGTACAAGCCTTGTTGAATGAGCACCCTTGCTTTTTGTTTTAGACAGAGCTCAAACTTCATTTGGATTTCAGGATCCTGGAAGAAGGATTAGATTTAGTGGTTAATCAGGAGCATGAAATTCAGGAGAAGGGTATAAGAAAGTGCTATTTCTTTAATCCAGGCATGCTGTAATCAGCAGGTCTTGTCTGCCCCTCACAGCTGATGTCCAGGGCTCAAATGAGCACCTAGGAAATGTGTGACAATCAGCACAGCAACAAATAAACCAGTCTGTACTTTGATTGATTTTCTCCTGGGGATTCCCCAGCTGTGTGGCACTGCTCAAATCAGAAATGTGCATAGTTGTAAATACTCAATATTATGATGTTGTATCTCTCAGTATGCAGTTATTCTGAAACGATCTGATGTTTATTCACAAGATACAGGGCTGCCACACCGAAGGGAAGATATATGATTATTGATTTAAAATACATCTCTGCTCTGAATTCCTTCTTTACAAAGTCACTTTTCTTACTTTTAAAAAATATACTATATGAAATACTTGGCTTTTTAGACAAACATTGTTTTGAGCACCTTACAGGTGCTGGGTGCCTGAATACCTTATATAGCATGTCGGTTAAAAACATACATGCATTTCCTTCCCCCCTTCTTCTAAACTGTACAAAGTTGTCCCCATTTATTTCTCAATAGTTACATTTTAGAACTTGACTTTCCACAGAGTGCTGCTCAAAGTGATGCTTTTTAAAATGACTAGGCCTGTCTTGTGCCAATAAAGTGTCATTGGCTAAAATTGGGTGCAGGTCTTCCCTTGCCCAAAGTTGCTTCTCTATGCTGGGAAAAGCAACCACTTTAGGAATCTAAATTTGGAATCTAAATTCAGAATTTAATGTTCTGAATCTCTTAGAAATACAAGAACTCAGTCAGAGGAAGATGTGGCAATTCTAATTCATCACCCCAGACATTCCCTTTGGATATCATTCATTCCATGCCCAGTTCTATGACATACAGGTTTCTAACATCCCTTCCCTCCCCCCAACCCCCATTTTTGAAGCTTAGAAGGAATGCCTGGCTGGATTTGCAAAGGTTTCTGAGGGGGGTATGTTGCCCATCAAGAAGAATCTTTTTCAATGTTCACAAATGTAACCTACCACAATCTGTGATACACAAACTTGGAAACTGTGTTCATGTTTCAAGAACACTTTTATGATCTGCTTGAAAAGAACATTACAGTTGAAGACCAAAGAGCAATATTTATCAACATTTAAATAAAACATTTCGGTGGCATTTTTATGTATATAAATATTTCTTCATATTAATAGATCACAAAATTAAATAGCTCAGATACACAGACACTATTTAATATACTTCCACTGTTGTCAAAATCACCTGTAAACACCATCTCACACTGAATACAAAAGCAGCTCTTATACCAGTTCCGTGTTCACAACATTGAGTCCTCTTTTCATAAAGGAAGTTGCTTATTTTTATTGTCAGATCTGCGTGTCAGATCAAAAATGAAAAAAAAAAAAAAAGTTGGGGAGAAGCCCCGTAAAACTCTTGGTTGATTGGAAAGGTAATATACAAAATTGCTTTTTTAAAAATGTAAATAAATCCTATCTGAAACAATTGCTTAAAGTACAGTCCTTTCCTCCGGCATGTCTTGACTTTTACAAAGTACAGCAGAGGCATAGACTCTTCTGGAACATTTCCTGTGCACACAGCCCTGAATGAACCAACTGGAGTCGCTAAGAGCAGGGAGGGAGTGGGGGTCAGGTCCAAGCTCTGCTGAACTGACTGAATTGATAAATAAGAGGGATCACTGCTTGTGTCTCAGCTACTTTACAGCCCTTTTTTGTCTTTCTGAGAAGGTGCTTAGCTATTTGAATTGGCAAACAACTTACATTCACTTGGGACATTGTACTGCACAAACTGGAAATTTCCACTACTGTTTGGAACAAAAACAGCAATAATAATAATAATAATAACAGAAGCTTTCAAAATCAACAAGCATTATTGAAAGTGCCATTTCGTTATTTTTTTTAAAAAATACAGTTATTTATCCCATGTCTAAAATGCCTTTCAATGTACAGAAAATAGAGATAAGACTCTGGTGCATTCTCCTTGTGCCAATAAAGTGTGATGCAGACAGCTGGGAAGAAGTAATGTGCTTATTCCATGGATTCTTTGTCCTTGTCATACGCTTCAACAAAAACAGGACAAACACAGACCTGATTTTTTGCTGACACCGTTCTTAAGCCTCTTTCTGGGGTTCTCTCTCCCTCCCCTCCGCCAAATTTGTAGAAAGGATGAGACTTTCTGCTCCGGCTTATCTACAACTTAAGAGATTCCCAGGGCTGCGCTGGTACTGTACTAAAAATCTGAGTTCCTCTGTGACCCTCACATTTAAAGCAGAAGTAAAGCCTGTACCGAGTTTCTCATGAAGACGAACTTCTCGTCTGCCTTCTGCATGTGGCCCCACTTCTTCAGTTTAAAGAGCATCTTAATATTTAAAGGATATCTCTACTTGAAAAATATACATACTCAGTTCTTCTGCTTAAATGTATAGGGATAACATGCACCCTTTGGAAATTCTTCATTGTTGTACATAAAATTATTCTGTGGAGTTACAATTTTAAGATTGCCCAAATCAATACAACATAAACGAGTTCTGAAAAACTGTTTTCAAGGCCCCTTGTGCTGCTCACATCTCATAGTGATGGCAATTACTGCTAAGACAAGACCTCACCTTTCCTGTAAACAGACAGCAAGTGCTGAGTGCATGGGATGTTCCTGCACAGGTTATTTAATAAACCGAGTCAACAAATTGACATTACGCCTACAAAAGGAGAAGATGGGAAGCTCTAAAATGTTTGGGACATCTGTACAGTATTCGGAACACACATATACCCACATTTTGAAATAGATCAGTCCAATTGGTGACATATTGGATCCTACTAGATTTATCAGAAAAGCATATTGGGAGTGGGCTAGCTACATGTGTGCTCTCCTGAGATCCCAGAATGGATTAACAAGTGCAGGACTGAATAGATCATATGCAGCTTTTTGGAATTGTATAGATAAATTTTCAGATATCTGATTGTTCTTTAATAAATACATTTGTAATTTGTTTTTGCTTTATGTGGCTTCAACTGTTACAGTATACAGGAAGTATTAAAAGGATACATACACCAGGCTGCTACTTTCACATCTCTGAAGATATGTAGTTGGCTCCAGCAACCACCCTTCCTTTAATGTTTATTATTGTGGTTAAAAAATACTACTCTATGAAGTTTCCCGTGGAATCCGCTTGTGAAAAATGACTGATGATCTCTGCTGATATTGTTGTCTACGTCGTTTACGTTTGTCACACTGACAGAGCAATAACATCTTGAATGTGGTTCTGAAATTTTTATTACATAGTGCATAGCACATAGGGTTCACTGTACTATTGATGTAGCAAAGCCAATACCCCAGGTTCCAAAATGTTTTTGGGATACAATTACAAAAAGTATTTACCAGGACCATGATATTATATGGGGTCCAGGTGATAATGAAGGCAAACAAAATGGCGCTAAGTGTCTGTGCAGCTTTCTTTTCTTTGATAAGTGACATTCGCTTTCGTTTGGTGATCTGACTTCTTGTCTTCAAGGCGAACTTCTTGGCCAGGGTGGCTTCCTTGAATGACAAAGGTAAGGCATTAGGTCCCTTCATCCCTGTGGAATTGCAGCCTGAAGCCTTTCCTGCATATACTGCAGATGCTTGTTGAACTGGAAGCTTGGGAAAGCATTTCTGTAAATTCCCATCATTCATGCTCTTTTGTGGATGAAGCCTTTTTGGTTTCTGCTCCTTTGACTCTGTGCCCAACTTCTGCAGTTCATCTTCTGACCCAGGCAGATCTTCTGATGAAGGCAGTTTCGCAGAATTGAGAATTGTACCATGTCCTGGAAGCTTTAGTACAATGGAGTAGATGGCTCGGGTGTCCGAGGCAATGTCGTCTTCATCAGAAGAGGCGGAGTTCTCAAGGGATGCGTTGCCATCATTGTTGTTCCAGCTATCGCTGCTGCTATGCTCCTGATCAACCTGATCTGAACTGGGTTTCCAGCTCTTGGATGTCATCCAGAAGTTGCAGCCCCCATATTTTCTTCGTTTGGTATGTTTTGTGTTCTGCTGCTGCAGTTCATAACTGCTACAGCTTCTAGAACTTCCTGTTTGGTTGACAAAGCACGCTGCCTCAGCCTCACTCCCAGAAGCCTGGAGTCCTGCTAACTCTTTGGTACGTTTCTCTGTCTCCTTGTATATCCTCCAGTACAAGATACTCATAATAGTAACTGGCAAATAAAAGGCAGCTATGGCAGTGCCAAAAGTGAGTACAGGTTCATTTAGGAACTGGATATAACATTCACCCTCTTCGACAGTCCGCTCCCCGACAAAATATTGCCAGAACAGAATAGCAGGAGCCCAAAGGATGAACGAGATGACCCAAGCTAAGCCAATCATCACTGCAGCCCTTCTGGTTGTTCGTTTAGCTCTATAGGTAAGTGGCCTCGTGATGGAAAAATATCTGTCAAAACTGATGACCAGTAGATTCATGACAGAAGCATTGCTTGCCACATAGTCAATGCAAAGCCATAGATCACAGGCCAAGTTTCCCAAAGCCCAGCGGCCCATGATTATATATGTGGTAAAAAGGTTCATGGAAATAATACCAATTATCAGATCCGCGCAAGCAAGACTCAACAAAAAGTAGTTGTTAACTGTTTTTAGCTGTTTGTTGACCTTAAAAGCCACAATCACCAAGATGTTTCCGATGATGGTGACAAGGGCCAGAATGCCAGTGAGGAAAGCAATCAGGACAACTTGCCAGACAGCATGTCCTCCCAGAGGATCAGGAGGAGCATGGGACACATTGGTCATGCCTATGGTAGAGAAGAAAAAGCTCCTGTTTGCATGGGAAGGGCCATAGGTGCTAGTAAACAACGGAGCATCATTGGGAACTCCTTTTCTTTGCGAGTCTCGAATCCAGAAGGTGCTCACATTTGGAAGTAACGAAGGGATTGTGCTGTTGCTAGATGGGATCATTGTGACATTCTGACATATTCTGCAAAAAGGTCAAAAGAAAGAAATGGCATGTAAATAACATACTTATAACTGCTTATGCAACATTATTACTAGCATCAAACATATTATTCTAAATGTTAAGGAGCTAGATCCTGTTATGGAATGGGATTATATCATGAAAACCTTTTAATAGCACTTAGACTTATACACCATTTCACCGCTTCACAGTGCTTTACAGCCAGTGGTGGGATTCAAATAATTTAACAACCGGTTCTCTGCCCTAATGATTTCTTCCAACAACCAGTTCACCAAACTGCTCGGAAAGTTAACAACTGGTTCTCCCGAAGTGGTGCGAACTGGCTGAACCCCATCACTGTTTACAATCCTCTCTAAGTGGTTTTACAGAATCAGTATATTGCCCCCAACAATCTGCGTCCTCATTTTATTGACCTCGGAAGGATGAAAGGCTGAGTCAATCTTGAGCCTGGTGAGATTTGAATTGCCAAATTGCAGGCAGCCGGCAGTCAGCAGAAGTAGTCTGTAGCACTGCACTCTAACCATTGCACCACTGTGGCTCATAATAAACATTGCCCTCAACATTTATGCTGTCCCCAAATAATCCATATATTATCCCATTTATTTCTGGGTTTTTATTTTTGTAGTTTAAATTGCAAATGAAGGGCTCCATAGAGCAAATGAGTCCAGCAGGAACAAAAGGATTTTAAAAAGCCATACTCCCATGCTAAGGATCTGACCTGCTCTGAGTTTATGTGCTCATTTTTGAGTAAAAAAACAACAACTCAAACATAGTTACTTCTACTTATATTGAAGAAATTTTATTTTGGCCAACTTTTCTCAATTTAGATTGTGAAAGAGCCGTACTAGAAAAAGCAATCCAGTCGAAATAAGTGCTTAACTTTATTGCTGATCTCATCCTTGACTGTGAACGAATATTGTTTAAAAGTTAAGAGATGTTATGTCTATTGTTTTGATGCTACAACTGAACATTCAGTTAGGATCCAATAGCAAAGTCAGCTCTGTAATATGATTACCTCTTTTAGCTTGGGAAATTTTTTTATGCAAAAACAGAAAACATCAATTAACCAGGCCAAACATAAGTCCCATTGATTTCACAACGTAAGACAGTTGCAATGGACTCTGGATATTTTTAAAAACTGTTCTCTACCCAGTGAGGGTTGATGTTGTAGGACAGCAGTCCCCAACCTTTCTAATGTGGCAGTCTGGCCCGGTTGGGATATGTGTGAGTGGCAAGAGTAATGCACGCACACAGAGTTCCATTTGTGGGACCTGAGAGTACACGGGCCTTCCACTCGTGTGAATGGAACTTTGTGTGTGGGTGGAGGGTGCTTGTGCTTGTGCACAAAGCTCCACTCACACAAGCAGCAGGCAGTTGCACTTATGTGTAAAGCTCCACTTACATGAGCAGACAGCACTAGCACGTATAGCTCCGTTTGTGCAAATGGAGCTTCATGTGCAAGTGCAAGTGCCCTCCGCTCACACAAATGAAGCTTCGTGTGTGAATGCAAGTGCCTTCCACTTGTGCAAATGGAGCTTCAGGCGCATGCACTTGCCCATCTCTCTCGCAGCTCAGTGTCAATGGTGGTACGGCTAATTCGTTAGTCAAAACCTTGACACCCAATTTTGAATAGGCCTGATAGTGGGCTATGGCTCAGGGTTGAGGACTCCTGTTGTAGCACAATTGTCTGACTTCTGTTTAAACATCTCTACTGCAAAAGACTCCACTGAAATATATTCCAATGTTAGAAAGTTTCTTACGGTAGTTAGACAAACTCTTTCCTATGTTTCCAATTTCCATTTTCTGCTGGATAGCCTTTCAGCTACTTGAAGATAACTATGTTGTCTTCCAACAACCAGTTCGCCAAACAATCTTCCCATAATCCCATTATCTTCCCATAATCTTCCCTTTCCTGGTTAAATACTTAGCCTTTCCTTTATTTCTCATAAAACTAGATTTCTGGCTTCTTTCCTATCTTGGCTGCTCTTCTAGTCCAATTCGTCAACATCTTTTGTAGGATATGGTACATCAACTAGTTGTAATTAACAAAGGCACAAAGATGCCCTAACATCTCCGCTCCCCCCCCCAAGATGGTGCATTCATCAACACCCAATTGTGCATTAGTGGTACCAATGTTAAAGTTGCACTGGCTACCCTATCTTGAAACCATTCAGGGCTGAATTTAAGATATATATACAATCTGTTAATTTTTGTTACTTCGGTACCTTGAGTCAATGTTTGTTACTTTGGTACCTTGAGTTGCTTGAAACAGCAAACATGGAAGGACAGCAAATTTCATGCAGGTATGATTTTCTTCTGATTAAAAAATGAGCAAATAGTAATTTAACTCAGCAGTGGGGAAAGGCTTTATAATGTATTACTTTCTTAGTGCAATTAAAAAGCTGGTTATGTTTCACCAGTTCCTTTTTACATGTAGCATTGCCAAGTCAAGTGTCTCTTCTTTCATACGTGCATATAAAGAAGAATTCAGAAACACATCAGCATTGTCAAAGACAGAAGCCAAAGCTGAAATTATACCATTCATGATAATGCCACGTCACCATTACCTAATTGTAGCAAATAGTTTTCTTGTTTAAATTCCCCCACAGCTTTCATAGAGTTTCATAAACCTGTTTCAAATCTTGTACAGAGGGAATTTATCAAATAATGCATCATGTTTTAATTGAGGAAAAAAGAGGTAAGATCAATTGGCAAAGCAGCTTGTAAAATATATATGAAAAAGAGTAGAAGAAATGTCCTGGTTGTACGTCCAAAGGAGGAGGTGTAGGAAAACATTGTAAAGTGAGATATTGTCAAATGCTGGAAGTAAAATGAAGAATAATTGAGCACATCAAACACAGAATAAGATCTGCAATGTTTCTTCATAAATTAGGTAACATTTGTTTGTACATCCTGCCAGCCAAGCATGTGGTTCACAGAGTGCTTTACAAAAGCAAAAGACCTACACGTCAGTAGTAACAGAAGCGCCAAGAGTTTGCTTTAAAAGGTTGAAATTCTAGCATATCTATATCCTGATTTCAAACAACTGCTGGCATTGCACCCACGCGTGCACAGACACACAGAGTGGGCCTGATAAATCAATGACCTTATAGGATAAGTTCACTTCTTTTGCTCATGGAAAACATGAAAGAGCAACTCATTTGTAAACATTAACATTGTTTTGAAAAATACAAGAGGAGGGAGAGAAGTCAAATGTGAATCTCAGAAGGGAGGGAGGAATGGAGGGAGACTAATATCCATTCACTGTAATGAGAATAGAGCAGCAAATTTATAACTGAACATCTCTGGCAATATTTAACCACTGTGTGAGAAACTGTCTTAAAACAACATGCGTTGTGTTTTATAAATTCTCCTTTCATACATGGGTAGTATGACTTCCACCTTGCAGTGATGCAAACCTTCACTTCCCTAAAAACTTACATATTAATTCTCATTCTCTCCCTCCCTCCCTCTCTCTCTCTCCCTTTTTCCTCTCAAAAGGTTACACAATTTCAAGTGTGTTGTGCAGACTTCTTTTGCATAGATTCCCATAGGTAATGCTGTACAATATAAGTTTGGCACCGAACATTCAAGAAGAACTTTAGATGGTGACAAAGATTTAGGGGTATTCAGACCACCATCCAGTGGTCATCGGAATAATTTTTTTGATAGACAGTTAAAAAGCAGTTGTGCTGCCTATCTTCATGTCTCCAGTCTCACTTCTTAAGCATATGCTGTGGGGAGGCAGTATTTAAAAAAACGTATCGTGGTAAAACTCTTGAAGTGATCTAATCAAAACTCTGTAGAGGTAAACTTTGCTAAAGGATCTCAAAGGTGCTTTTTTCAAAAGGCAACTGGACAGTCCTGGATGACTGAGAATCTCCATAGACATTTTGTTAAAGGATCCCTTTTATTTTCATTTCAGTCTCCTCAAAAGTGAAGCAGCTTCAGATGTTTGAAATTTCCACATTGTAACATGTTTCTTTAAAATCCAATCTAGAATTTCAAATTGCTTCAGGTTGCTTCATGTTGTGATTGAAACTTGAATTACAAACTTGAATTGTACCCTCTTTCATTCTTGAATCTCTTACTCATGTAAAATAAGGAGCGATTTTACCATGTTTGGAATGTTTTTGTTAAATTGAATCTTCCCTGTCCCTAACATGCTAAAAAATATTAGGTTGTACAATATAACTGCACCTTATCTGTTTGGAACTGTTTAAAAATAAATTTTAAAATTATTAGAGTCTTCAATAAGTAGACAAAAGAGAAGCAATTCTTAAAATTCCAAATCACAAAGAAGACCTAAAGATTATCCAAAATACTGTTTTTCAAGTTTGGGAGACAAATCCTAGTGCTAAAAATTCCACTAAACTATTATAGTGTACTTTCATTTCTAAAATTAATGAGAAATAAATACTTGGTTTCTATGAAAAATAAATGAAAGTGCAAACAAGATATATTTTGTTTTGATGCTGATTTTTTTTTAAAAAAACAATGTTTTAGCTGACACAAGAATTACTGTATTGCTTAGCAACTGTATGCAAATTGATAATCTGATTATAACACTGAAAATCTTGGTTGGTGTAAAATCTTTTTATATACTTGAAATAAAAATAAGAACCATTGACCAATGCATTTGAATATTTATAGATCATAATGTCTTAGATAATGTTTATTACAATGCCATAAAATTTTATGCCATTCTAGAGCTAAAGCAGAGACTATATTGCTATGGCATAAAATATAAATGGGGAAAAATTAATAAACTACACAATAAATACTAAACAAGAATAGATTACAAAAAATGGGAAAAATCAAATGTACTTTCTTAATTTACATTAAATCTTAATTTATTTTCAATTTTAGGCCACCAAAAATGACTGTTTCTTCATCAACTGTGGCATTACTATACAAGTATTAATCAAAATTTATGAAATACACTGTTACAATCTTTCAAGCATGTTCTATTAATGGTACAGCTTAGTCATTAGCTATATTAT